AACTATCGCAATATTGGGAAAAGCCAGACACATTCTGGACTACAACTGATTGTATACTCTATATAACACACTAATATTGCCATATCTGATTTACTGTGTGGAGATTTGGGGAAACACGTACAATACCAACCTACAGCCGTTATGCACATTACAAAAAAGGGCTATAAGAGTTATCAATAATGTTGGATATCTTGAACACACTAATGTATTATTTTTGAAGTCACACATATTGAAGTTCACTGATCTGGTTAGATTTAAAACGGCACAAATCATGTGCAGAGCAAGACATAATCTACTTCCTAGGAAATTAAAAACATTGTTCGTAGACAGAGAGGGTGGGTATAATTTGAGAGGAAATCTACATTTTAAACAACTCAAGGTCAGAGCAACTCTGAGAAGTATGAGTGTAACAATCTGTGGGGTGAATTTATGGAATGGTTTGGAGCAGGAGTTAAAACAAAGCACAAGCATAATTCAGTTTAAAAGGATGTACAGAAACACTTTTTTGGAAAACTATGAGAATGAAGAGAGGTGATTGAAGATGAGAAATTATTGTATATGTATGTATAAATGTAAATGTACGTAGGAATAACTTGCATAATGATTTAAAGGACAATCATTGATCAAGTAAGGGGTGGGAATTAATAAGCATTTGCTTCCTCCTACTTCCTTTCGGACACATATGATTTATTATTATTATTAATATGAAGACTTTATGTTTTTTGTTGAATATATAAATATTATCATGAATGTGGATAAATACTGTATTTTAACAATACGGTATTCTGTTTTTCACATTTGTTATTTTTTTTATTTGTTATTTCTTTAATCTGTTCGAAATGAAGTTTGAAATGAAAAAATGAAATTAATACAGATATTAATCCACAGAGAATTAAAGTTCCAAATGTACCAACCTTTTAACAAATGCATAACAAGTTTATATGTCGCAAAAGAAGAAGAATAATCCCAATTAAGTCTAGTATACATGTGTTATGTGGTTCGCCAAGTCATAAAGCAAAAAACGTACTGAAATGAAAATGGCCTCTTCAAAGTCCTCACATCATGCCAGCCTCTTAAAATGTGAAGTGAATGACTTTCCCATTTGGTGAACAGTATGGGAGTGAATGAACACGTGTGACTGAAAGCCCCTGGCATCAGTCTGCAAAGCCGTTGTGAAAATGGTTACAGCATTTCAGCAACATCTGCTCTCAGACTTAAGAGTTAGTGAGCTTATGTGGTGAAATTATTGATCCTTTAAATCCCCGGGCACATTATATGTCCACAATGGTTACATCTGGTTGAGTAGTCACGCATCAAACACTTTTATTTGGTATTTTTACTGGCCCACTATGTCATCCCTTTCCTTTCAATGACATTTGTTACGTCATAAGACAAGTCAATCAAAGACCAACCTTTAGTTTCTTACCGAGCATTATTCCTCACATACAAGGAGCTTTTTGTTTCTAGGAAATGTCTTCTGCCTTTGTTGGAGTTTTCTTCACTCAATATGAATGCTTTTTGAGAGTTGCTATGGTCACATGACAGGAAGTGGCATTTTTCTTTGACCAGTGTCAAAGTCATGACTGATCTTAAATCAGATGTCTGGGACGTGTTCAGACTTTCAGAGTGCGCTGACATTCCACATCCTGCCCGTGAAGTGTTGGATCACATTTAGTGAAATGTCAATGTTTTAATGGATGCCTTTTTAATGTCAGATCTGGCAAATTTAACATGAACTCTTATTTTGTCTGAAAGGGCTATATTTGAAAATATAATTTGCGTGTGTTGGACATGTCAGGGACAGCAGAGGCCAGAAAGCATGTGCTATCCATTTAGAAGATTACAGCGTCAATAATCCTCTTTACGAGCTACGGGGCGCAGAAAAATAATATGTTATGATATATTTACAGCTGGAACAAACACACATTGATTCCCTCTTTGATTTCATCCAGAGACAGGGGATGGCCTTGAATGCATTGAAGCATTAAAATGCTGGGTCATTGCACTGACGGTCTGGATCAATTGATCTGTTTTCCAACATTAAATTGAAATTGAGCCATTTCATCTGGCCTCACATGGCCTTCTCAGAGCCACTCGGAGGTAAATGGTCCTATAACTTTATGTCACTAAGATATTAGATGGCCGACTCTTTCTGGTAGTGCATTCACAATCTTCTCATATACTAACTCAGAGCTGTAAAACATGACCGCAAGTTATATCCCAACTAAAAAAAAGTGTAATAATCGAAATACCGCACTCTGATTGGTTTGCTATATTTCCTCCTTTGGTAAAAATGTTGCTTTAAAATAACTGTCAAATTCTTTTGGCTTCACTAATGTGTTTTACAGCGAGTCCTTGTTTAGTCTTTTGCTGCCGTAATTATCCTTCCATATTTTTTTAAGTGGTTAGCAGCCAAGTGGGCCCTGGGGGGCGAGGGCTGAAAGGAGGAGGTAGAGCCTAAGTTCATTTTAAATAAATTGCAGAAAGAACCAGTATACAACTGAAACCTTGCACACTTTTCCAGAATGTTGCCAAACTATTTCGATTTACAGCCTTTTTTGCGAATCCTCTTTGTAATTCCTTGGGTGCTAGATAAAAGACAATTGTGGAAAGTGGAACAAAGTTTGAGATCCAGTCCTCGGTCAGAATAATCTTAAGGCTTCAGAAACCACATGTTTTTAAGAGTAAAAATGATTTCAAAATCAGGTTTTCTTACATGCCTCATGCTGACACGATCACATTCTACTAAACATAGTGGTTATTCCTTCATTTATTTAATTGAAAATATATTCCCTTTCTTTCTGTCAGCAGTCCTGCGGTGTTAATGAAGACTGCAGAGGCAGACTCTTGGTTTATTATCTGTTAGGCGAATTATTGATTAAAAAAAATACAAGCTTCCTCGCTGCAAATGCACTTCCCTTTTCCTCCCGTGCTCTCCTGTCAAGTATTGTTTTGTTTTTTTCTCTTCATGAATTATTCAAAGACTTCTTTGGCTGTTGTCCCATTTCTCCCATTTTCAACTTTTGACCAGTTTAAGAAGACAACAAAATAAGCTGAAAGTATCACAGGGGTCAAAGAATCAGGGTTTCCTTTCCCCCCCATTATTCATTAATGTTGTGGCAGAAGTTCACAGCTCTCTGTTCCCAGATCAACGGTTTCAAGATAAAGGGAGTAGATCACCACAAGAGCATGCACGCAACAGAGTGACTGGAGAATGATTATTTAAATGCAAGATACGCTTGGTACGGCGGGATAACTTTTTCAAAATGAGTTAATCCTGCTCTTTCATCAGGAGCAAAGCCTGTTAAGTCATGTACAAGATGCAGATAATGCAGTGAGGTGGGTGTGATGCAGGCCTTTGGCGTGAAACAGTTTTAATCACAGTTGGGAAAGTATTCTGAGAGGAGTATTTCGCCATTATATCTTTGACATCTTCAGCCAAGTCTCCACAAATACACAGGTATTTTTTTCAACACAATTGTTACTCCTTACTGAAGAGCTTGTACTGTATTTAAGATGTGTTTTAACATTCTCTCCTGCATCACATTTCACACATTCCAAAACAATTACGTAAAAGTAAGATTAAAGATCTTTGTTAATCCTGCCTGTCCATAAGCACCGTCTCTTCCTAGAAGGCTGCTAACTTTAAATTGATTAGGCTCTACTGAAATACACTCTCACTCAAACACGCACAGGCACACACATTCCCTGCCACGTGAAGAGGAAGTACTTAAATTGAGTATTGCCCCCATATATAATTAAAATCAAGGCTTTTTCTCTCTGCTCTGTATTCGGTGTGACAGCTCCACATGGTGGGGAGCTAATGGGAGCTTTCTGAGGAAATGGCAGACTACTCTGGGGCTTCACATGTACTCATTTGATGATAATGTTTAATATAAGCTATAGGTATCTCTGAACTGTGATGAAAAATGTGCCTTCCATGGGGCCTGTTACATGAACCAAAGACATGTTCTTGCATATGCTCTAGCAGGAGAAAAGTGCTCATTAAGAGGCACCCTTCAACAACCAGGTCACCGAAAAAGTCTCCTCGCCCAGCAGAGGGGTAAACCGTCCTCTCACGCTGCTAGCTACAAAGTCAATTGGTCAGCTGGACATGGTCAAGAGGACAAAAGCTGCTCTAAAGCCAATTGTCTCCTTACTTGAACAAGGTGTTGTTTTTTTCCTTCATGTCAAACCCTGAAACAGGATTTGTTTGTTTGCTCTTGGGCTTTGTTCCTGAATGAGGACAGCCATTTCCGGGAAACAGCAAATGATAAGAGACTAATTGGAAGAAAAAGAAAATTGAAAGCTTAAAACATGTGTGTCCTGTATGCTCAGTCTCAGCATGGTCTGTTTGTCCTCCCCTCCCTCCTGTGCAGAAGTAATACATCAAATCACAGCGGAGGCATGGGTTTATTTTCTCCACTTTTTTTATTGCATCTCATCCCCACGAGGAAACAAACCGTCCTTTAATACCGATGAAAGACTCCCTGGCTCGAAGCACAGCTGAGGGCCCGTGTTGTTGCGTTGTATCTTAGATGCTTCAGTCCCACAGCATCAGATCTGTCTTGCTTTGTCAACTCAGATGAGCGGGGTCAACTGTCTCCGCTTTCCGAAGGTTTCACCGTTGCGAGATGAGAAGTAACAAGCCCCCTCCGCTGAATCCTAATTCCTGACAGCCTCCCTGCCATGCTCACTTCTAACAGTTCTTTTATGTCGAGCAGAAACACAACAACCTGCCACACTCGCGAGACTGTGGCCGTTTACCTTTGCCTTTTGTATTCTTTTTACCTTTGCCTTTTGTATTCTTTTAACACGTCGCAGTACTTTGTGATAAAAGCGCCCTCCTGCTGTCGCCCTCTGAAGACGCTGTGCCTGACTCTTTTGTTCTCCAAATGTCCGTGTTTGTCATTTTGGTGGAGCTCACTGTATTCAAGCATCATCTGAATGCCAGTCTTGTGTCTCCATCGTAATAATGCCCTTGTTTTCTCTCTCTCCAGGTAACATCAACGACTGCTCTCTGCACTATTACTTCTTCCTCCTGGCAGGGATCCAGGGTGTCACCTTGTTGGTCTTTCTTATCGTCTCTTTTAAGTATGAAAGGCAGAGGGGTCGGACAGGAAGCCAAAGGCAGAGACACACTTCCTCTTGACCTGTCCCCCATGTCCTCTTCACCAAAGCTGCCTTTTGCATCATATCGCTCGGTGCCCAAAGACCCTGTCGAATAGGTACTTACTAATTTACTCCCACTAGTTTGGTTCACCTTCCAGTTACAAATTGTCATGACTATATTTCGTGTTTATGTTTACTCAAGCTTTTAAGAGGAGACTCTTTTTGAATCTATCACTGGATGAACGCACAGGAACCACTGAACATAATGAATTCAGGAGCCATGTTTGAATCTTCTCTACTGTACTCCTTTACTCCGGTTTGTTTACTCTTGCTGCCTTTTTTGTTGTTGATCATTTGCACTTTTGGAGTGGTGCCATAACACAAATGTGATATCTAGATATTTTCTAATCATGAAAAATGCTCAGTTTTTATAGTTGGATTTTTACGTTTCCTTTTCTAACAGTTTTCTTTATTTTGACTTTTGCTAACAATTTGCCTGACCCTGATACACCAGGGTTAAAATGATCTCTAGACTAACATCCAGTCGGACATGTGTGTATTAAATGTACTTAGCATTATTTTTTTATTACAATTACGCCTTTTGGCTTTTTGATAGCTTTGAATACCTATGCAGTTTTAACTCCGAGACTAGTTGTATGTTTTAAACCATTGCTATTAATGACAGAATAGGGCTTTGTTTGAGGAGATCAATACACTTTAATTGATGTAATCTATTATTCAATTCTAATATTGAGAGAAAACAAATATGTTACCAGTGCCTGTGATTACATATTGTAAATCCTTATGAATCCCTTCCATAAATCCGCTGTAATTCCTCAAACAGAACCATACACATTAATATTGAAAACTCCTTGTGATAAAAAATACTCCTGTGAAGCTTCAAAGCACTTTTTTGCCTTTCTGGCCAAGCTGCATGTCCGTTTGACATTCAACTAATAGAAATGAACCTAAAGCTTAAGAGGCCACCTTGAGTCGAGCTCTTAAAATATCTCCTGCATCACATGCTGGGTTCTAAATAAAAAGGTGTGTGATTTACACAAGCAAATTACATATTTGTTTCATCTTCCCTACATTTAAATTCTGTTCCTCGATAAATCGTAATTTCCTTGCATTTGTTGTCAGGGATCTTTAACAGTGTTGTCATGGCTTTGCAGCTTTGCCAGAAAATCTTAAAAAATAGGTTTTGTTGTATTTATTAGACTGTGATGCTTTTAGCTTAATACTGCTCAGAAAAATGCTGTCTTCTCTTCATAATTTTCAGAATAGGTACTGCATTTTATTAACAACAACAAAACTCTCAGGGCTCAGACTGATATAACTCTCCAGGAATTGTACAATTGCCTTTGGGAGCACAGAACTGTGTTTACCCTGTGGTGTAAATAAAGTTACATTTGTAACAGCACATAAAACGCAGAGATCTGACTCCTGTTAGTGATTTCAGTTTGTGTTAAAGGGGTCGTATAAATGGCTTTGTTTTATTGCATAGTTTATATATACTTGCTTTGTCATTTCAGTCCTCTCCCTAAAGATTTGTTATGTTTATTTTGGAATGATGTTCTGTTTCCTTAATGCTATGGAATTTGAATTGTGTTGTATTTGTTGCCATTAAAGTATATTAAATAAATAATTGAGTTTCTCATTTTCTGCCATTTTATAACAAGACAAAGTTAGTTCATACATCTGTCACATCACTTGACCTGCTGTCATGTACTGCAGTTTTTAATGTTCTCTGATTTAGAAACATTTTAAGCAACAGAAAACATTCATATATGAGTAAGAGCATTTTCCAAATCCAGAGGACGGGATGACCCTGGTGTTAAAATGGAAATCACGGATAGTGCCTGTCTGGATGCTTTTGTGATGAGGGCTATGGTTTATCCTGGGAAACCCAAAGTAGACTTTGTAAATGAGTTGTATAAAAACACACCCTGCAGCATGCTGTTTGGGAAAAGGTTGCAAAGACAAAGGTTTAACGCCTCATTTTGCATTCCCATTGCGTAAGTATTTCTTCTTAGTTTCATCAGACACAGATTGAAATCAACACGTCATCACACATCTTTTTTTTAATGCGAAGCCCTAAAAGCCAGGAGGCTCGGAGAGGGCCATTTCCTGTCTAATTTGGTCGGAGAGCCCACATAGCCGTGACTGAGCAGACAGCTTGATGTTTGAAACCAACACAATGCCTCGGGGTCATAATTCTAGTGTGGCGGCTTGTTTCTCATATTGAGAGACATTTCTGACACTCCAGTGGTTATGGTGGCAGAATTGCAATGCAGTAACATTGAGATATATAGTTCTGACCTCCCACTATTTTATTTTGATTTGTTGGCCATGATTCAAGCAAACAAACAACAGTGGCTTGGAAACAGCGGCTCCATATATGTGTATCTTCTAAGGTCCCTTTGTTCTTTTGTTTTTCAGTATGTTCCAGGAGCTAAGATAATGCATTGCCTACACAATTCAAAATGTAAAAGAAAATACATTTTGTTACACCATCCTAGTATTGTAAGGGTTGGTTATAACATTGTTAGTCTGTCGGTTTACCTCTCTGGTCCAGTGCAATCTACATGTTGGATGGATTCTCCCAATCCTTATGGACAGATATTCATGGTTGCCAGAGGATGCATCCTGATTATTTTTGGTTATCCCCTGACTTTCTCTCTAGCACCAACCAGATCTCAAAATGTGTGCTTGGCGTGGAATGTACCAACAAATACTTAAGTAGATTACTATGTCACATGTGTGTGAGATTTCTCCTCAGGATGAACTGTAACATTTACAAAATCCCTTAAGTTTATGGTTATAGCTAAATGATCATACTACAGTAAATGTTGTGTCCAATACTTTGCTTTATGATTTAATAACTGCAAAAGAATAATGATCTATTACATTCTCATCAACTTTTTGTGACTGTCTTGTTTATTTTTATCCTCCAAATCAAATACCAACAACTTATTAGAAAAAAAGTTTCTTCTTGTTGAAAAGCTGCCAAAATGAGGATAGCAACAATGCAGTAATTATTCCACATTTAAGTCAGTGGTATTTACTTTCTCCAAATATCTCCAGTTTTACGTCAAAGTGTATGAAAATGAAGTAGAAAAGTTTTAAAAACACAGATAAAAATAAGTCTGTGTATGACGCGGCATGTGTCTGTCTTACATAATCTACAGAATGCTAAGCTGCTTTTAATTGTATTACTGAGTCTTACTGTACCTGTGTAATGAGCGACCGGCAGATGCTCCAGAAGATGTTCCTCCAGTAATTGGAGGATTAGGAGGTATCATCACATGTTAATTAAGATAAGCTAATGCAGACACAATGTTTAGGAAAAAGGGCCAAGCAGACAAATCGGCTATCTCTGAGTACTAATGATCCACACTCACAGAGACCTAATTATCTTATCCGAGCTGTCTCTGTTAGTCTGCATCCCGGAGCATTTTCTGATTCAAAATGGGACAGCGTTGGACAAGAGACAAGTTGTTTTACTTCAACTTCATCCCTAATGAGGCATGCTGAGAATATGAGCCTCTTACAATCTCCTGTTGCAGAAATTGTGCTGCTTAGGTCTTGTCACTTAAAAGGCTCTCTTCTGTTGAACTGAGCACGTCAGCAGGTTAACGGATAGGATGTTCATTCAGACGGATGATCTGTGAAATAAGCAACCGTAAAATGTGTTTAACAGCGTACATCCATCTGGATTTATGGCTTCAACCTCGGTTATTATGTGCAGGCCCTGTGGTTTAGAGCGTCTTATTTGTACAGAATGAGGCTTGACTCCCATATAACAGTACAGGTATCAAGATGAATTTTTCTCAGCCACACTGAGGAATACCATTTGTGTTAGGCGTATCTTTGTAGCCCTCTGACCTTCTATTGTTTTCCGGCAGGCAGAAAAATGCCCCTTCCTGTCTCAGGGTGCCGGCTGATATGTCGCTCCCCTGAGCACGGTGCTCTGCTCTCCTCCTGGGCCGACATATCTAAATGACACGGTTGGTTACTCACCACATGCTGCTCAAGGGCTACTGTAGTTCTTTTTTGTCTTTAGGTTTATGAGTCATCGCTGATAATTTTTATAGTGCATATGTTTTTACTGTGGGTAGGTTTGTACTCATATCACATTGTAAAAATCCAAAGCTGATGTTCTAATTGTGATTTGCCTCAATTCTGTGGATCAATGTTGATCTCCACAAACAGTTCATTTGGGATTAAGGATAAAGGCTGGTGGTATTCTTGAATTGATATACTGTCAAATGAAAAGACATCTGAAATGAATAATGACAAATGAAAATCTGCTCAAATAATGTAGGTCAACCCTTTGAGAAACTCTGAATCAACCAACAATAGTATAACATGTTGTGGTTGGACAATATAATATGAATTGTAACTATCAGATCCGACAGGGTACCATCATTTAATAAGGCTAGACTGAAGAACAATAACTTTAGTTATTGTAATGTTATGCTAAATGAATGTTACCTTGTTTCTTGTCTTGAATATGTTTCTTTGTTGATGTTGCAAATGGAGCTGCTGTGATGCAAGTTTCAGACTTGATCTGACAATCAATTATCCTATCATATTTAAATCCAAAACCAACAATGAATTTACACCTAAAGTCTGATATATCGTATTCCTCTCTGCCATAGCCTTCCATTGTTGTTCAAAAGCTATTTAAATCACTCAACACCAAACACATATGTACTGTATTACCTACAGCTTAAAATAGTCCTAAACAATTGCTCTAGTATATCCTTTATGAGTATTTTTTGCTTAAAAAAACTACAGTGCATAGCTATTTTAAGAGATAAAAATGAAAGCAAATATCTAATTTGTTCACATTTTATCAAGTTCCGAGTAGGAAAGTCATAAAGTATTGAAATTGTGTGTTTTTATGTTTTTTGTGGGATTTGGTGACAATAAGAAAACTATGGAATATTGTCAGCCTAATCCTGTTAAATTATTATAAACTCAAGGTAAGACTGAGGTAAGGGGCTATAGGTTTACTGAAGCTAAAAGTAACTTAAATTGCTAGTGAGACAAGTTACTCTGTGTTAGAACAACTGGGCGTGTGTGCCGTTATTCGTCTTCCCACTGGTGCTCTTGTCAAGTGGGAGATAGTGTTTACAAGACACAGATTTGGCACAAGGGTGTTTTTTTACGAGTGCTGTTGTCTTTGGTTCCCTGTGGCTTAATCTGTGAAAAATCGGTCAGACTGGAAAGTCAAGCTGACCTTGACAGCTGCTCTATCGTTCCTCGGAGAAAGCATGTTTGTGCGTTTTTAGTTGATGTAGAACCATTGTGAACTGATTTAGAAATGAATTAAAAGGAAGCAACATAACTCAAGCACTGAATAATCATTTGGAAATTGCAAATACAGAGCCGACATATTAGGACCACAGGGAGCACAACCAACCATTAGTGGGAGTTTGTTGGTCTCACATCATCAATTTAATTAAAAATCCATTTAAGATGGAGGCCTGGGGAAGGATTTTAACTTTTACTCTTAGAGAAGGCAAGACATCAAGGCCAATGAAAATGAGTGTTGAGTTACCATGCTCTAAGAATGGAAGTGAATACAGTCATTATATCTGCTGTGCCACATCCCAGCAGGTGTGAACACTTGTCTAAAACTGGGGCTCGAGGGGGTGGAGACAGCAGGTCTTTAATGGGCTGCGCTGTTCTGCCCCTACCTGAAGAGGCTGAAACCACCGACGATGGTCACGGAGAGAGAGTCGCAGTGGTGTTTTAATTACACGGGGCCCTCCATCAATCACGCCCCTTGTGGCTGACAGTTGAATCCCTCCCAGGATCTGCACTGGCTCTCCTCGCCCTTCACAGTCCACAGGCTGGGCACAGCAGCCATGGTCCCAGCACACAGCACTCTCTGCACATGGATCCCCCTTTAATCCCCTGCAGCCACGGATAGAGCTTCAGAAGCAGGAAAACCACAAGGCAGATCGCACCGGAGAAAAATAAATCAGGACAGCAGAAACTGAGACAAATGAGTGAGCAGGGGGAGTTTTTCACGAGTGTGTCTGTGAATACATCATGGAATCAATGTATGTGTAAGCTACATTTACAATGATTTAAATGTTAAACTAAAGATACTGTATATGGAGAAAGTATTTCAAGTCAAAAAGTTAAGCCGAATCGTCACATTTTTTACTTTTCCTAAACTTTAAAAGTTGATTTAGCCTGTAACACCACAACATTTTTATTTTCACATTTTTGAAAATGTATATATTTTTTAGATGCCATGGTAGATGCTTATTACCAGTAATATGTTAACAGCACCTCTGAAGCTTAGTAGTACTAACATACTATATCTTGAGACTCACGCAGCTTATTTTGCCAACCAAGTATAGTTTGGCACAAAACCCCATGTAAACCCGTGATCTTTTTTCTACAGTATTTTCACCTCTGGAAGAGTCAAGATGTTGTCTTTATGCTAAGCTAACCGTCTGCTGTACTAATTGTAGCTTCACATTTATTGTGAAGAAATAATAGTGGTATCAATCTTTAACACAGCAAACAGTAAATAAGCCCAGTTCTCAGCATTTAAAACTACTCCTTTAATTATACTAGCTATCATGGCTTGTTATTTTTCCATTTGAAATCTATTTCTTGATTCTTTTGTGGGGTGATCATTTGGTGGCTCAGCAAGCAGGGGATCATTTGCAGCACCACAGAAGTAAGAGAATCAGTAGACAAGCTGTTTGAAATAATTAAATAAAAGTGGAAAAGCCACTCAAACTAATTCAGGAGTCGGAGGGGCTCTTTTCAGTGCCGACTGTTGCTCTAAATGGCGTCCCCTTATTGCACTCAAGGTAGTGCTACTATTTGCTTGAGTATCTCGCCTCCCTTCTTCCACGCTGAAACTCTGAGTGTTGCTGATTAACAATCTGATCCACACTGCAGCAACAGTTAACATAATGTGAACATTTCTCTGCTTGATAGAAAATAATAACACAAAAAAACGCAATCAGCCAACACCACTGTGATGATAATAACATTCACTGAGCAAAAGGCAATTTTTCAGCCGACTGCCTTTGTTTAGCAAGTTTTCAGAGATGATTATTATTTGTGCAATTATCTGGATAATAAAATATCCTTTATCAAAAAGAACAAATTTCCCACCTTGCCTTTAATTATCCCTCTTTGTATCCACACTATCCCCAAGAGATGGAGTGCACATTTCATCCCAGTTTGTCCATAACACACAGTTTATCAGTATGCTTTTCCTGAAGGCTATGGGAGAGAGGTTAACAAGACCTTAATTGGCATTTTCTTCAAAGCTCAGTAAACTTTAAACTGGAGGGTGGACAGCGGGAAATGTCACATTACCATGTCGTCCGGCAATTTAGTTCAAAGACCCCTTCATGCTCTGCTGTCATGTTAGGGCACGAGTTCTAATAGACGAGACGAGAGTATTAATGACCACTGCCTTTGGTCACCGGCCAGCATTAAAGGGAGCAGATGACAATGCCTTGTTGGTGAATTGCATCTCATGAAATACTTTTTATACAAACATGAATGTGTAATTGGCTTCTTTTCATCCACCACAATCCTCGGCTGACCTCAGTACTTGATGCTGTGGTCAAGAAAAGCTGATACATACTCTTGACATTGTTGTGTATTTCTTAAATGTTATGAAAATACAATATACAGAGCAACAATACAATGCTTTGGAGACTGTTTGGTATATACAGAACATGTTTTCTGATGTGTTAAGGACAATGAGAATGAACCAGAAAGTTGTGCCTTTTTTTTTTTCTCCATCTACATGCAGAAATGTCTCATCGCTTGCTTTGGCCTTTACAGAACTCTTCCACAGATTAATGATCTGACGTAAGAAATTAAAATCCAAAATGTTCCAAAACGTCCAAAACCATTTAATGTGCACACACATCCGGAACATCTATCTAGCCATTTTACGGTTTGTTTTAAAATCTACATGTTGTCTGAATTGTCCACGTCGTAGTTGCTGCTAGTCCTGGGTTCATTCTATCTAAACCCTGTAGTATTAAAATTAACGATCAAAAGCTAATCATCTGATTAACAAAGGAACAAAAGAATCACGTGACGTCCTCTTTCATAGACTTTTTTTTTCCATAAATGATTCATCATCAGTCACTTGTGGAATCACCACAATCCTCTTTAATATAATGACCCTTTGGCAGTTTGGGATGATTCTGACGTCAATTTCCAGATCCGGTTTCAGTCCAGACCCACTGTCCTCTGAAAGGCATAAGGGTGAGTTTGTTACAAGTGCACGCAGTACATTATACCACCTCTTTTAAAGCACTGTCGCTTAACCTTTCCATGTAATTGCGCAACTCCTTGGAGTCTCCCAGCTCCACATCTTGGCACACCCACTCAATGTCCTGGCAGTGGCTCCCAGTCAGTGTGTTAACAGTGGGGTAGCTACTGTCCGAGGGGATGGTGGTGAACGTGGTGAACTTGACTCTCTTCCTCTTGGTGGTGGGGGAGTCTCCTTTACTGTCCTTGACTGTGCACCCTGTATCCGCTCCCCGGTGCACTTGGCCCTGCACATTCTTCTGGGCCGATCCTCCGTTCAGCAGGTGGCTTCCTTCCTCCAGCCCGCTGCTGGAGTCTATCATAGAGGTCTGTTCCTCCTGCTGGGGCGACAGGCTGATCTGGCTCTCGAGCAGCTCTGCCTCGTTGCCAAGCCATACCCAATCGTGAGCATGGTTCATGTTCTCCTGGCCTTCAATCGAGAGCTCCTTGTGGCGGTATTTCAGCGTATAGGAGATGCAGTTGATGAGAAAAACCAGGATGGCGAGGCAGAAGACCCCCAGCAGGGCATACATGCCGATCTCCAGATCTGTAAGTCCACGAGCGGTCTGAATAAGGTCATCATCCATATTGCGGCCACGGGGCAGGTCCACTTGTGCAGGGAAGTCAGCAAAGTCAATTGGCATGTTCTGGCTACCATCATCCGAACGTTTATCCCCGTTTGGTCTGTGCAATATGGCACTTCTAGTGGTGGTGGCTCTCCTTAACACCCCATCCTCCATGTCAGAGATGGAGCTGCCATAGTAGTGTGTGATAGGGCCGGTCCTGTCCTGGGAGGGGGAGAGCCTGCCTCTGTTCTCCATATCGTCTACATCAGGGCCGTAGTCGCTGCCCCCTCCCCTCGCACTGTCACTCCGACCAAACTTCACTCTGACGTTACAGTTACCCGCGGCCAGGATGCTGCGGCGCTTAAACTTCTGACAGGTTTCGCAAACAGTCATTTCCACCCTGACCAGCAGGCCTTGGCCCTCCGCCTCCGTCACTATGACAGGCCATTTCCACGAGGGGTTCTGCTGAACTGTCACGATTTCTTCATCGAGGGAGGTGGCCGTCAGGACAAAAAAGTCTGGATTATACAGGTCAAGAGGAGCCACAGAGCCGTCACTAAACTGTAGCCAGGCGCTGATCAAGGCTTCCTGTAAGCACACACACAAACACATAAACAACAGGGAGAGAGAGAGGGAAAGGGAGAAAATAGTCAGTGACACATAAACAACATGTTGTGCTTTTGTACTTCAAAGAAATGCAAATAATAGTGCAAAAATAAAGCATCTAGCCTCACATCATGGAAACCTACGGGAACAGATCAAATTGTTTATACTTTATTAGCACTGAAATTATTATAAAAACAAATTAATGTATTCTAAACTGAGAATTACATTTCTAATTTTGGAAAACATTTTCTAAGCTCACCAAGTGGCGTGGTTCGAATATCTCAGCGGCTATTTCCGCTCAGATTAAAAGATAGGCGGAAAAGATCAAACAGTAACATTACACATTGTTCATTAGAAGGAGGATTTGCCATACATAGACATCTTGAGGCCTTCTCCTGCTGCAAATGCACAATTTGCCCTTTAATGTTGCTGAAGGACAAATCCCTAATGGTGCACAAGCAGTAAGTGTCAACACTCGCTAATTACTGGGAACAGCGGACTAACAGTGCAGCGCTGCCTGCTTATCTTCACAGTTTGGGCATAGAGATAGGATAGATAAATGGCCTTTCCATTCTTCCTCACATGGAAGAAGAGGGGGGATGGTAAAAGAGCAATCCAGAGAATTTGTAAGAGGGCTTGATGGGCAGATCAAAGGGGCCACACTGAGAGTAGCCAGGGCAAATGAGCGAGAGAAGCATAATATGTATGTTTGTGCTGTGAAGTCATATTTTGGTACAGAAGCTGTGGTGTTGCCTTTGCATGCTTTCAGATGAATCTCCAGTTTCTATTAGATGCCCAAGGAAACACATTCTGTCACACTCCGGCTTTAGGCCTTGTAGTTAAGAGGGTTAGCTGCTGTGGAACAACAAAAAGGCACGTGTACACAAGCACATGCACACCCGCAGCTTTTTCTTTGACTGGAAAAATGCTCATTCAGGAAACCTGATAGTGTGAAATGAAATCTGGAAGTAAATCTTTAGTTTTGAAAGGGACAGTAATCAAGTTTGCAGAATCTAATTTTGTTAGCTTTACTAGATATGTAAAAGTGTTTCTTTCACCAAAAGGCTTATATACCATTTGAATAATTCAATAAAATGAATGCTGGGAGAGAATATTCATCATTCTCTGTCTTAATCCAATTTTGCTAAATTGTGTTTGCAAATAATTACTGGTCGTTTTTTTATGCATTAGATAAGAGACTGTGTATTCAACCACATTGGCTAGAAAATAAATATTCAATTTGATGCTTATATTTTTCACTTTCTTTCGTGTCTTATATATACAATTATTATTTGTCTTTTAAATAACTAAATAAAAATGTGAAAACTGCAGCCTGAGGTGATAATTTGTTTTCTTCTATTTGACCAAAATCCCCAAATGTACTGATATTCATTTTACTATTAAAGGTGGGGTAGGTAATTTTGGAGAAACCGGCTTGAGCGTGCTAGAATTTGAAAATACACAGCCGGAAGAAATCTGCTACTTCCTTACAGAGCCCCTCCTCCAACACACACGAACGCGCACATGACCAATGAGGGCACGAGATAAGTTTGTGCACAGATGGAAGGCTGACAGGCAGGTAGGCCATCCAGTTATTTTAGCCGGGCCGGCTAAAATTATTGGTCGTGCTTTTTACAGTACCATGGCTTCCACAGATGAAATGTATGGATTTTTTGTCAAAGCACTTAAGATATTCATTGCTATCGGGATGTTAAGAGCATTCCATGGAATATAACAAAAAGTGTATCTCGAGCCGGTTTCTCAAACTTACCTACCCCACCTTTAAGTAGAACTAAACTACAGAACTAAATCCCAGGTCAAGTCAGCCCTGAGGGGTCTTTGGGCAAGTAAAATATCAGACTTGATCAGACAATGAATTATGATCGTATCGTTAGTATGACAAAGAAAAGCAGCAAAACATCACATTTGGAAAGCTGGAACCAGCAAATGTTTAAAATGTTTGCTTGAAAAAATTAGTGAATGATTAATGTAACATTCAAAAAGTTGCAGATGAAATGGATGACATGATTATCTACTAATTGTTACAGCTGTTCTTGTAAAACGTGTGCTGACCTGTTTGGGGCTCTGCAGAATCTCCTGTGTTGTGGTGGTAGCCAGGATGGCTCTGTTGCTTCCTGTACTGAGCTGCAGACTCATAGAGAGGCCCGTCACCAGCTGCACCCCCAACTCTGTGATGGTCACTTTGTCATCCACCACTGTGACAGTCTTCTCTGCCAGGATGGAGTCAGATAGAGGAGACAACACCTAGGATGTGCAAAATGCAGCAAAAGAATAAATAAAGAAAACAAACAGAGATGATAGATTACATTGTGACAGTAAATTAATTTTCAAAGGAAAAGATGAAAGAATTTTCTTCAACAACAATCCCCTCAAATATGTGTTTGTCGAGCAATAACCTGTGACGTTCTGGTATGATCAATTACAGCTATGTTTTTCTGCAATAGTGACTGAAGCTATTGTATAGCCTGTTCATGAAAGACTTTTCATTTCCTGCTCTAAACACCGAGGGTTGTGAGGGTCTTTCCCTGGAGAAATTAGCAGCGACAGCAACCGTAGCTAAAAAGAGAAAAAGAGCACTATAGAAACTTCATAAACAAGAAATCCACCAGAAGTTAGTCCCTACTGGTCACACTGCTTGATTGACAAGGCGTTCCTGACAGGAATGTAAAAAAGTCCCATCAATGAGCACTCCGCAGTGAGGTTGTCACAAACATGAAAAAAGCGGATTACCACGAGTTATAGGTGATTTAACAAAATGTCTTCCGATGTGTTTCATCTGACATAAAAAGCTCACAAGCCCCTGTGCAATATGCACAACCTACTTTTTATTTTATCTCTTTACTCAGGCTGTATAGATCAAACAAATGCTTGGCTGCCATATAACCCCGATACTTCCTATAGGTAAGAATCCTTTCCCTTTGATTCATATCCAGAGGAGAAGCACACTTTAACCCCAGTACAGAAGAAGGAAGTCTAACGTTATTTAATGATAAATGCTGCAGATGTTATGTGTGACTCTTCTCCTCGTGCACCAGACTTTGTGGTGCGTGGCACAGGTAGACACAGCTGGCAGACTTTAGTGCTGCTCATGTTTGCCAGTTCGTGCTTGTTTTGTGAAAACGTTGAAGCTTTCCCACAAAGGTGAAGACACGTCTGCGCACAGACAGACAGATGAGTCCCCGACAACAGGGAGCGGATCCCACTCACACAGATGCCATTAGGAGGCTGATATTCATCCAGTTAGTCTGGAGAGCATGACAAACCAAAGGGCTTTGGGGGGGGGGGGGCAACCACTCACTGCTGAGAGCCGCGCTACAGGCTGTGAAACACCAGCATGCACCTGTCTGCACTAGACAAAAGGAGGTACTATTGAAACCACAGCACCAATCAGTGGCATCTGTAATACAACATATGTTCATGCTCCTACTCTTTATTATTCTTACATGTATTTGTATTTGTAATTTGTTCCTTTAAATGACATAATTCAAATGATAAGAATGTTCCCGATTTGATGAATAATTAGCATATTCAAATTGAGATATTGGAATAATCTTCTCATTATATTCTGTTATTACTAACACAGACCTTTGCCAAGATCTCTGGCAGCCTCTAAGGCCCTCTGCACTGCGTTTTACACCAGCAGATTTTGGGAGGAATCTGTATAATAAGAAGCAGGCACTGATCTCTCAGAGATTACAGCGATGGCAGATGGTTGATTGAATGAATTTATATTCTCTGTTAGTAAGAGCTGATTCCGGATCCTTGTCTGTCTTTTCATAAGGCTAGGTAGACCTCTGAGACAGGAAGCAACGGGTTCATGGGAAATCTTTTTATTTTTTATTTGAGAAACACCAGCACAAGTGGAAAACTAAATTGCCAGCGCTTCCTAGCACCTGCAACATAACAATGCCACAAAGCATGTTGCCAAGGCTACTAACTATCTTATATTTTTAGGCATGCATGTTTAGCAACCACTGTTTAATGAAAAAAAAGTTTAGGTTAATTAAAACTTTGGCCTTTTTTAGATTTATTTTTGCCATCATTTCTATATAATTATGAAACTTTTAACTCAATAAAATGTGCGTGATTGAACTAAAAGAAGGGTAAAAGTGAAACCAGGCAATATGTTTAGTAAGATACATGTACAGTTCAGGTATTAAATATAAGTTTGAGGGTTTTTGTACAACCTTTCTGATTGAGCAACTGTCATATCGGCTTCATTTGAGCTTTTGGGTGCTGGAGGTTGAATACAGTTGTGTCAATACTAAAAGGAAGGATATCCAAGACTTTGAAAATAAGATCCTAACATTATTTCTAAATGCTACATTAATTAATGAACTACTTTGTGCAGTTCACAACACCTGGCCTACCTGGATAGTGGTCATCCCCATGTCCAGCCCCACCAGTATCCTCCTGTCCAGTATCTTTGCAATTTGGGGGTCCTCCACCTTCAGGAAGTCCCACACCAGCTCTGTGATGTCCACCTGCCAATCAGTGCCCAGCATGAAGCTGGTCTGGCCTCGGGGATCTGCTGACTCAGCCACAAAATGTGTCAGGACCCTGACAATGGCGTGCTGGTACTGAAGAGTGCAGCTTCGTCCACGCCTGTCCTCATCATCCTCGTCCTCGCTGTCCCGTGTGGACCTAGTAAGAAATAATAAAAGAAACAGATGTGCAAACTGGTAGCAACTGAAAACGTTGTTGCAGCCATGCTTGCGGCGTAGCTCTAGGAATATAAATGTTGATTGGCCCACTACATTAATAGAGAATAGTAATATGGTAGATATTGAATCAGTTGGCATGGCATTTGGTGTAGACATTCATGGTCCCCAGAGGATAAATCAGAACAATATTTGTGATCATCTGACTAGCACTACTGTCCATTACTTTCTTGTATTAATAAATACATGCAAAAGTAATGACATCCACAAAGGCTGTACTTTGTTTTAAGTGCTAATTATCAAAGTACATCATGTTAACACGCATGGAGTACAATAGGCCTGCTATGGCTGTATACTCTTAGTCTCGTTAATTATGCATGCTACTTTAATTAAAACATTGCAGAAAGTGCACGAGTTAAAGCTGTATCACATTAATTACATAATGATATTTACTTTGCAGTTATTGCCAGTTTACATCTCCGCCAAAGGCCTAATCTAAAATAATTGTGGCATATGTGTATACTGTTTGCTAATTATACCTATTAGATGAGAAGAGAAAACATCTGCTATGTCTTCTGGATTGGTTTGTGGTATTTTCAGCAGCGTTTAGAGAAACTAAACTCTGACAAACGTTCACACACACACACACACACATCAGTCTCACACAGGGATGTTTACCTAACGAAGATCAAGTTAGGATGATTAAACCATGGAAAGAGGATAAATCCAGCGTATGGCTCTCATTTTTTCTTCTTATGTCCCTCCTTCACCATTTCAGAGCACCTGGTCTGGGTTGTGAATGTGCACACGTCCCCTTACTGCTTTCCTTAATAGCCCTAAATATCCCTCATTGCTTTTTTTGCTAGCAAATCTAATTTGATTGCTTTAGGTAAAAAAAAATTGCCAACTGAGGCTCAGGTCTTTCTCACCAGGAAAATTGCAGTATGTCAAACTGGCTTGAAATGGTTACTATAAAGCTGCACTATCATTAGACTTTGTCCATATTTGTTTCAATGTTATTCTTCTTCAACAGCCAAGAGATGAAGCACCCTGAGATGTTGAATGTTTGAATGGTTGATCTGGGAGAATAAATGCTGTTACAGCTTTTCAGTCTTACACTGGGGCACGGTTTGGACATTTTTAAACAGGAAAGTGCTTTGTAAACAAAACTGCTAATCATATACGCCACTGTAGATTCCCATTGTCTCTCTCTCACACACGTACACACCATCATGCCATCTTGATAAAGGGGAGAAGTAAATTAATTAATCTTTTAAACTGTTTTTTTATCGCGATTATCCGCTCGGCTTGTCTCTTTTCTTTGCGAATCCCAGGAGAAATCTGACTGCACATAAAGCCGTGGAAATCAAGATGCTAGCTGCACGCGCCAGAGAAAAACCCCAGAGCACAGTGAGATTTGGAGTTACTGTAGGGGCTTAAAACTTTCCCCTTCAGCAGCCATTTCACCTGCAACTGAATGACAGCCATTCACAGAGGAAATGACTAAACTGTGGAAATTGTGGGATCATTTTTAGAAAACATTTTGATTCAGGATTCAACAAGTGAACACATACCCTAAATATGTTTTACAAACATCTGTGATGAATGCCTTTGAAGTTGAACAGTGGTATCAAAACACAGAACGTTCTTTTAGCTTTTATGACTATTTGCTCTCTATTGTTGTGTCTTGTTCTGTTTAATCCCCCCAAAGATTCACATAAAAGTATTTCTATATATCAAATATTCATGACTACGATTAAAAAATATTTTAGAGCAGCCACTTTAGGGACTTTGAATTCAGAAAAAAAAACATTGCGGTGGACTGTTGTTTTCAACTTGTGTGTGCTATGTTTTGCATAGAAATACCAACAAAAAGAACTGTGTATGAAGTCATTGCTAAGGAGGCGGCTCATATACACGAGTTAAAGCTGTATTACATTGGTTGTGTAGCAAGCCCTGTAGAACAACCATCAAATCACACAGCTTATCCATAATCGGAGTTAGAACGTGGAATGGACTTCACCCAGACCTTTCAAGTATCACTTGTCATCAACAATTCAAAACTAAAGTAAAAACAATTCTATTTATAGATTACTCCAGCTAACAAATATTGGATATTCACAGTATTATTTATATATGCATTTACTTTTTTTCTTGACCTAACTTTTATTTTATTTATTTATTTTTCTCCAGTTTTCTTTATTTCTTTGTACTCCTTAATTTCTATACGTTTTTGACTAAATACATGCCATTGTTATATTGATGCTAATGATGATGCACGGGAGGGCTACTCCCCATAAGCTATGCTTCAGCCCTCCCGCTTCTACTAATTTTGTTCATTTGTGTGTATGAATTATACGTTTTTGTTTTTGCATGATTTTAGTAGAATAAATAAATAAAAAAATTAAATAAAAAAAATATACAGTATTTTGCAGTGTGATCTGAAAGGACGTTGGTTTCTGCTCAATATTCCGTCGCGGTTCCTTTTACACTACAGGAATTATAAATACAGGGACAGTCCAATCCAATTGATACCATTGACAATTCCCTACAATGCAGAACCATTCAAAATCTGTCCACTACTTCAGGAAAAGATCAAAAACAAAACAAAGAAATCTCACGTTAACCATCCTTAAACCATCTCTGCCAACAATCACTAGCATGTCTGAGCGCACCTCCCCACATTGTGTTAAAGAGTTAAAACATTTTTGCACTATTAGAAACCCTTCCAAAAGCAGATTGAAATAACAGAGCAGTTGTGCCTTAGCAGGCCCTACATGACACATTGAATGCATATTTATGAATACTAACGCCTCCACTTATGATTGTTGTGTCATTTACACACACATAAGTGAACAACTTGGATTCCAAGGAGTGGACGAGGTTATTTGAGTCCTTCTCGGATATAATATTTGTAATCAAATACAAGGAGCTTCTTCCTTGTCTTACCTTAGAGTGACTCACTGACTATTAAAAGGCAAACCTTCAAATTCACATACAAACAAAAATAACTCCCATCTGCATGAAATGTGGCACTTTATCAGATACATTTTGTAATTCCAAATGACTAACAAGCTTTGTGATTAATGAATTTGTGATAAAAAATTCATTCAGCATCGGATTTTTCTCTTAAAATTCCCTTCGCCTTTTATAAATTCCTGTTTTCCACTCACTCTCCTATTATTTACATAAAATAAGTAGAGGAGAAAACCATCTGCCAATGATTTCTGTCCCCATTTTCCAATTATTTTAACGCCAGTAATTGAAAGTTTCTCACCGCTGACTGCTTTGGTTAGATCCTTTTGGATCATATTGTGTGTGTTTTGAGTGAAAACAGAATCTGTTATTTGACGCACTGCTGTTGAAGGATTTTGTACTGACACAATGACCAAATCAACATCTAAACAGTATATAGGGATCTTTTTAGATGCAGGTATTAGTCAGATGTAATGGATTCAGGAGTAAACAAGCTGATAGTGAAGTCCAACTGTTTTAGCTCCACTATAAATCTGATATGCCACTGCTTGTGCAGCCATCTCAAAATCTAATCTAAGGTTAATCTAATAAACAAATCACACTCAGCGGCGAGAACAACCTGCTACACAAAGCAATTTTTCTCTCTGCTTCATTTACTTTCAAGCCCAATTCTGACTTCAGAGGAGATGCTGTGTATTGGAGTGTGTGTCATACTTATTTGTGTTGTGCCCCACAGATCGAGTGCTGTATTTGATATTTATTTTATTATTTTTGCTACAATAACATGACGAAGGTCATTTGGACGGAAATAGACAGTTCTGCTACAAAGTTTGATTGTTTACTTATATTGTGTGGATATTATTGTACGGAATTCAGCTGCAAGTTGGTTAAGAAAGACAACACTCAGTACACGCAGCAAAAGCCAACCCAGTATAAAAACAACATAAAAATTAGTATTAAAGGAGATTTCTAAAAGCCCTATCTGGGTAAACATGTCTTTAAAGACCTGTTAAAGGAGTGGTTCAAGCCTGAGTGCTACGCCTACATTTAGGTTTGCTGTCTGCGAAGGCTTATCTTGTCCCTGTTCTGACAGGGCTTAGGGAAAGGAAGAGGTGAGCCATACAGGAAGTGCCAGTCAAAAACCGTGTGAGTAGTGCTTTTGCAACTATCAAACCTTTGCCGGATGTCTCTTTATTTCTCATTTCTCTCTCGCCCCCAAATGTGGCCACGACTTGCCAGCCGGCTGATAGACAAAGGTCCCGCCACTTTGTATTGCTGCTCAGTTCCTTGTGGGCTTATGGACAGTGGAGCAGTGCCATTTCTCACCAACAGGCATAGTGCTACTGTGCAAGGTCACGCCTGTTATCCACTGATAAACAAAGGCGGGTTGAAGACAGGGAGAAACAATGCTCTCTGCTTCCCATCAGCAGTGGTTCTGGCGTCAACAATGACAACACAACTGGTCTGTCTCGACTGATAAAGGCATATAGAGCAGAGCTGGAAAAGCAACATCCGCAACATGCCATGGCATTAGTCGAATGCTGTACCCCTGTCACTCAAAATAAGAGGGGAGCCAGGATAATTAGAGCAGCCACACTGGTGTGTGGGATGACTCCAAGTCCAGGAACAGCCTCAATGCTTTTCCAGAAGTAATTACTGCAGGTAGGCTGATAGCTGCTCTCTCAATTGATGGATTTCAACAGTTGCAGAGAAGCGCTGCACAGAGATGTTGGCAGAGGTGCTGTTAGTGATGAGGCCCCCAGGGGAGAGGTCTGACCTCCATGCAGCTCTAATAATGTTCTGTTCTACTGACGACTAAGAGGCAAATGGCAAGACACCTTAAGTCGGTCTAATGACAAGCTGTATTGCACAGGTCAGCCATTTTGTTATCAGCCAAGAACTGTCAGCAGGACTGGAGTCAGGAAGGGACAGGTGGAGTGGAGTTCAGTCACACATCTCATCATTATCTTATCTAAGGCTGCCATGATTGAAATCGAATACATCACCTGAAATAAAGGCCACTCGTTACCCCCTTAAATGAGGCTAATGCTGCTGAAAAAGCAGAACAATTGCTCATATTGAGAGCATCTATGTTGCCTTGCACAACGATATTAAATACATAAGAAAGGGCATTTATAGATATAGCTCGGATCCACTCAAATTAAGATTGGGGGCATGGCAATTGCCGTTTCATTGGATAATTGTACATTTTGCTGGAATTACAGCAGACACAAAAGAAAAGTTGAGAAAATTAGCCCTTTGCAAAATGTTGAATTGTTATTCTAAAGAATGCAGAGAAGACTGAGACAACCTGCAGTTTAATCTGTCCAATAAACCAGAAGTACCAATTATCTATGATTCTCTGGTTTAATCTTGTGCAGAGAACGTTTTCTTCATCACAGACTTCTGAGTCACAAAACTATAACTAAGTCATACATGTGCTATAATGATATTGACAAAAGGCTGAAAGTGACTATAGTGACTGTTTAAAATATTTAATCAACAGTATATCTTTCTAGATATTAAAACGTTTTTTGAAAAAGGATTTGGTGCAAATCGCGCAAACCTGACAACCAATTACAGTGCAGCAGAGGGCAACACAGACGTCCATTAAGGAATATTTGGCATCTATTCAGGATGAGTTATTTAAGGGTCGACAACCCCCTTAGCTGTGATATACTGAGCATATATCACGGCCTGAAGTGAGCTATTGCTTTTATAAAACGGTTACCAAGTGTGGCAATATGAAAGAAAAATACACACTCTAATTTAAATTGTTTTTATGAGTAAATAATGATGTTCAAAATAAAATAGTCCCTCCGTTGCCTTCTGCACAAAACACTAACAGCTAGCGAACATATTAGACAGATAGCGTTGATCGATTATTTGGCTATTTATTTACATTCATTTGTATGTTGCCGTTTATTGTGCACCCACTGAAAAACTGTCCAGCATCAGTAGAATGGCTTACGTGGTTACTTGTATAGGTTGAGGTTGTTCTAGGCTGTTGCTTGGCGTGGCGAGAATATTGCTCCATTTTCTCCGGTCCCCGAGATTCGCACCTGTGGCCACTAACGGTCATAATTTCTCTGCTTTGTTTCAAGACCCGCATCAGAAAGCTTTTGAATGGTGTACTTTTCCAGTTGGTCTACCTGCTCTTCACGTAGCTCTGCATGTCGTCGTTTAGGTGCTTTTTTTTCTGGAGATAGGCACTCGCACTCCTCAATCCACTCCTCCATAGTAAGACCCCCCCGGAGGTCGAAGTTAACCTTAAATGTTTCCATCTTAAGCTTTGTAAGTTTGTTTCGTAACGGACGAAATGTAATAATATTTATAAAACGGACAAGTCAAATCAAGCAATCTGATTGGTTCTTAGCCGTGGTATACTGAGCGTATACCACGGGTAGAATTGTAAGTTACTTTTCACAACAAGTCAGTATCCCTCCGCGTCTGAGAAAAACTGTATTCAGTTGGGCTGAAAAGCAAACTGCATGCAGTTTGCTTTTCAAACTGTAACAAGAAAGCAGCGGAGAAGTAACCGGGCAGAAACCCTCCTTTTTACGCAACGGTCCAGACATAGACATCAAACGGCAAAAACATATTCAGTGTGCAGTTCCTTTGGCATTAGGGCAGGGATATTTAGATACTTTCCAAGGTTTGACATAATAAATTGTGCTACTTTTAAAGCAAGCAACGATGTTTTCAAATCTGTAATCAAAAAGGTCCGCAAAAACGCTATCGACCAATCAGATTGCTTGATTTGACTTGTCCGTTTTATAAATATATTTACATTTCTTCCGTTACGAAACAAACTTACAAAGCATAAGATGGAAACATTTAAGATTAACTTCGACCTCCGCGGGGGTCTTACTATGGAGGAGTGGATTGAGGAGTGCCTATCTCCAGAAAAAAAAGCACCTAAACGACGACATGCAGAGCTACGTGAAGAGCAGGTAGACCAACTGGAAAAGTACCACCATTCAAAAGCTTTCTGATGCGGGTCTTGAAACAAAGCAGAGAAATTATGACCGTTAGTGGCCACAGGTGCGAAAGCTCTCTCCAGAGCTACTGGAAGCCCAATCTCGGGGACCGGAGAAAGTGGAGCAATATTCTCGCCACGCCAAGCAACAGCCTAGAACAACCTCAACCTATACAAGTGACCACGTAAGCCATGCTACTGATGCTGGACAGTTTTTCAGTGGGTGCACAATAAACGGCAACATACAAATGAATGTAAATAAATAGCCAAATAATCGATCAATGCTCTCTGTCTAATATGTTCGCTAGCTGTTAGTGTTGTTGCATAGCAACCACCTCGCACTATGTTTCGTGCAGAAGGCAACGGAGGGACTATTTTATTTTGAACATCATTATTTACTAATAAAAACTATTTAAATTAGAGTGTGTATTTTTCATTCATATTGCCACACTTGGTTTCAGGCCGTGATATATGGCCATTATATCACAGTTAAGGGGCGTGGTTCGGCCCGACGCGAACCACGGCCTTTCGTGAGCTATTGCTTAATTATAAAACGGACAAGTCAAATCAAGCAATCTGATTGGTCGATAGCGTTTTTGCTGACCTTTTTGATTACAGATTTGAAAACATCGTTGCTTGCTTTAAAAGTAGCACAATTCATTATGTCAAGTATCTAGATATCCCTGCCCTAATGCCAAAGTATATGAATATGAATATGTTTTGCCGTTTGATGTCTATGTCTGGACCGTTGCGTAAAAAGGAGGGTTTCTGCCCCGTTACTTCTCCGCTGTTTTCTTGTCCCAGTTTGAAAAGCAAACTGCATGCAGTTTGCTTTTCAGCCCAACTGTATACACAGTTTTTCTCAGACGCAGAGGGATACTGACTTGTTGTGAAAAGTAACTACAATTCTACCCGTGGTATACGCTGATTATATCACGGCTAAGAACCAATCAGATTGCTTGATTTGACATGTCCGTTTTATAAATTGGGGTAGATCATCAGAATTCTATGACTTGACTTGTTACTTGCTCGACTAATAGTAGTGGCTGTTTTTGACTTGCTGTATTGTCAACCCAGTAACGTGGGACTTGCTTGGGACCTGGGTGTTGGGAAAGGAGTCCTGCTTGGGACTTGCACGTGTGACTTATGACACATACACGGCCCTGTAGCTGACAGATTCATGCAGTACTTTACCTCTGACTGGTGGCCATGACGGGTACTCTCCACCCTTTGATCTGGCTCAGCTCGGTGTCTGACACTTCAATCTGGAGGGGGAGTCGAGGGATCCACACGTTGAGCTCCAGTTGAGAGCTCAGGTATCCGTAGGTGAAGTTCACCATCATCTTCACCTTGCCCTTCATCTCCTTGCCGTTAACAAAAACATAGTCGCACCTGTCCGACACCTGCGTGAGAGGAGAGGGAGAGATGAACAGAGACGACATTTAAGTTGAGCTCTTCTGACGGTTTCTACACATTGAATTACAGTGCGATATACCATAAAGCGTTCACTGTGGCCCAGGCTCTCCAAGTTGATTATAAGGTTATAAGGTTTACACTTCTGAGCTCCCCACTGATGCAGTATTCCTGTAACTACTTTGAACAAGATGAAAGGTCCTGAATGTGCTCCACACTCAGGAAAAGAAGGGAGGGGGTAACGAGGACTTATTTGAACCTTAGGGAAAACAGATCATGGTCTGCTGTTCTATTATATTTTTGCCGAAAGCTAAAAGAAGAACCAACAGATGGAAAGTAGAAAGAGGAGAGCAAATGTCTCTTGATAAAATGACCCGACTCAAAGGCACCCGCTTCATAAATTGCTTTAAAAAGAAGAAGTAATCAGCTGGCCACATTTTTGCTTTTTCGAAGGACACAACTCCTTGTTGCTTTGGTTCACTCCGTTTGAACCCATCCCCCCCCCCCCACAAAAAAGAAGAAGAAGAGGATCTCAAGACGGCTATCCAGCACACACTCACACAGAGGCTATTAATCAGTATGTCTTAAACAGAGATTCCTTTTTTTTCTGGGCAATTTGTCAATCCTATTTATCTCATCATATAGCAGACTACTATGGCTCAAACCAGATGGAATTAAATGGTCGGGGGAAATATCTTTTTTTTTTCTACTTCCAAGTTATTCTTCCACAGAGAGATAAAACCATAAACAGCCATAAATCACAAAGCCGCAGCGGGATATCCTCTGTGACCACATTCTGGAGACAGACAGAGTCCTTAGCTTGGTTTGAGCTCTCTCTATTTCACAGCATCTACAGAGTGAAGCCAACACAATACTCTCTGTGGAAGATACATTTTGCTTCTTGGTTTACATTAAATCCGATATTTGAATATGTGCTTCACTGATGTTATACTCTGTCCTAAAAACCAGTGTGTGTTTGGACACAAATATTGGCTAAATCAAAACAGTCATCAAATAAATTGTGTATGAAATAATTTATTTCATACACAATGACATTGTTTGATGCAAACTGTAGTAAGCTAACATCATGTTATATGGATTTAAACCAAAGAGAGATTCAAAGAGAAATGTATCTTATTCTATTTTTATATATACATAGATTATTTAATCCTGCTTTTAACTTGCACCATTGTGCCACTTGCACTACTTTATTGGACTATTTTACTTCCTTGTTTCTTTTTATGTCTTATGTTTATCACATGTTGCTTTGTTGGAGGAAGCTTTAGCTACAGTATGTTGCTTATGAAAAAAAAGCCTTTAAAGCTTTTAAATCTAGAGAGTGCGAGATTGAAGATAGGATTTAACAGCTAACAACGTCGGCCATGCAGCTTGTTAACTGCCTGTGTGGCTGTTGGAATTAAACTAATGATGAACGATTTCTGGTGTCTGCAGGCAAAAATATAAATTTGCACCAATTAAATTACCAGTAAAAGCACATTGTCTTTTGAGACCTGTATTTCTCACCTCCTACATTACATTTATGCAGAGAGAGAGCTATTTTATCTGAAACATATTTCTTAGCAAAAATGCTTTTTTAAAGAGGCAATATTATGCTTTTTGGAGTTTACCCTTTCCTGTGGTGTGTTTTTGTGCATGTAAATGGTCTGCACAGGTTAAAATCCTATAAAAGTTCACACCAAAGGGAATGTCTCTCCAACACACTTCCCCTCTGCCTCAAACACCTCGACTGGACTCCTTTGTTTACTTCCATAACATAGTGACATCACTATGTACCTGTTGTGCTTCTACTGGGTAGTGCTCCAACACATTGTACATGATAGGATGAGGGGCGGAACATATCTAAACGGTTGACCAATCACAACAGAGCCAGCCAGCTAACCAATAAGAGCAGACTGGGCTCTGGTTTCAGACAAAAAGGTTTTCAAGACAATAGCAAGCTTACCAAAGCAGTTGACTTTATGTCTGAACACTGGCCACCAGTTAAGAATACCCCTGTGAGGAAATAAAAACTGTGCTGCAGGGGATCATCCAAGGCTACAGCCAACCATCAGAGAACTTCTGTTAAGGACTGCAAAAGCCCTGAATTCTCAAATGGATGCACACAGTATGAGTGGATACATGCTTTATGTTACTACAATAATTAAAGAATACAGAGCAAACAGCAGTACCTTGCTCGTGCACTGACGCCGTACAACACTGCGATGAAACAGGGTCAGACAGAGTTGCTTAATAAAGCTTTTGACATTTTTTACAAGGGCAGTGGTGCTCCCCTGGCTACACTCAGTCATGTAGCCGATTGGGCTCCGTCAGTGCTCCCAGTGTGAGACTGTGTGTTTGAACTGATAAAGATGTCAGAGAAGTTCCTGCTCCTTATCAGCCCTCATTGTTCAGCTCTTTCTCTCTCGATGCACTCAGTCGGCTGATACAGAAGTGCCTTTGACAGCCCGTTTCATCTCAGACTTCTCTCACAAGTCGGGGTCGTGCAACCTGCCCGCACGAGCATTATCTTGCTTGCTAGACACCACCTGACTGGGCTCCATGTGAGGCTCATGAACAGAACCAAAAGTGATATATAGCTGATCGATAAAATGGATGCTCCTGACAAATGCGTTTATCCTATCAGATGTATTTTAGTTACAGTAGCAGATGCAATGGTTGTGAAATGACATCAACGTGCAATGATGTAGAAACACAAAAACAAAACAAACACAGACTACGACACCATGCTGTGCAATAACAAGTGTGTGCAATCAGTTAATTGGAAATGCATTAGAGATGTTACTTGTAAATTGAAATAACCTTTTTTTTGCATGCCCTTTCTAATAGTGTTTTATTTTCTCTCTCTATCTTAACATATGCTGTAACAAGGTACATTTCACCTCTGTGGGACGAATAAAGGTATTCTGATTCTGAAAGCTATAAGAATACAATTTATTCTTATTTGAGGAAAGAACATGTTAATGACTCTGGCACTTATTAACACACATGTCTGCTACAGTATGTCTCATGACAGGCAAATGAACTGCCTGATGGTATTTCTTTGATCTACTCCCAACAATCTAAGCGGAAACAATTTAAGCAAACATGGCAGCTGACATCAAGCCATCCCGACACATTACGCTGACATGCGTACACCCTCCTGCTGTGCTGTATCATCGACCAACACACATCCAAGTCAACATTTTAACTTAAAAAGACAGTCCCTTTAACCTCTTACAACGTCCCACAAGGATGTGTGTTGTGGCAGACCAAGCACTGTCTCTGTGAATTACACACTCTCGGTCATCCTGATTCACAAAGTATCATAAACGTCCAGGAGGATCCACTACCACATTAATCAGAGACATTAGGCAGCTAACGGGAGAATACTTACAGAGGACATTAAGGCTGTCTCTGGATCTAGCCCAGGAAATTAACAACTCACCAGACAGATACAATCCACGGCAGATATGAGCGATGGGAGTGGGGAGCATGAAGGTGGGTTGTGCATGTCTCTGGCTTGTATACAGAGTCAGCTTGACAGAAGCAATTAAGCTGCTCAGGCTCCTCTGCATAAGCTCGAGCACTCACTTCAATGCAAGGGGAAAGTGTATGCATATTCTCATAGACTTGCTCTGTGTAGGCAGTGGTAAGAAGGGCCCTCTCGTCGACCTTGAGTAAGTAGAGTTCATGTCTAACAAGGAGAAGAACAATTTGTTCAGATTTTTCTATAAAAGATCCTTGGAGCCAAAAAGCTATATTCCTAAACATGTGCTTCTTACTAAAAAATGTAGTTATGAAGCACTGGTGACCAAATAGGGAGGAAAAAAACACATTCCTCCTCATTTTTGATATGGTAGTGAGTATTACAGTCAAGAAAAGGGTTTTCATTTTTTCAAAACTTTACAAAAATGGTAGGCTAGGTTGATATTGAATGGATGTTGACATACAAAAAATGAAGTATCCTATACAATCATCAAATCTGGATGCATCCGTCTTCCAAATTCATTCTGGCAGCACTGAAGTATGCCATCATTGTTTGGACCCTTCTATTTAAAACGAAAAACTAAAATATTAGATATTTAAAATGCTGCTTCATGTCCTTGACCTGATAAGCACTTTAATCAGCTGCATACTGCTGAAAGATGCATCATTTGAAAATGTTTTGTTGTCGAGCTAGTTAGCTAGTTGCAAACTTTGTCTGTTGTTGTTTTGAGCCGGGTGGGAGGCAGACAGTGGGTTTTAAGAGCTTTGCCACTGAAAACAACAAAACAACAACAGTCGGTAATTAGTTCCTGTTTGTTGCACTACAGACAACCACTTTCACTTACAAGTAGTCATGTGATCCATTGTTTGTTCAAATACATTTGAGTTGCTTCAAGTCTTTGGCAATGTCCCCACTGTATGCAGCTGCAGCATGATGAGCTCTAACAAGGTGTTACAGTAGATGTACACCGGATATACCCACCCACATCCACAGCCATCACAGTCCAATCAGTGAGCCTGGACTCACGCATGGGCCCTAAACTGAACTGTGAAAACACTAAATGCAAAGAGAGCAACATTAAAAAATAATGGAGGCAGCGCTTTCTTTCAGCCTAAACTTGTCAGATACAATTTGTTTTAGCAAGACTAATATTAAACGTGGTTTAAAGAAAAAGCAACTATTTCTTTCTTTTCAAATTCACTGAAATTATAGGGCCACAAGTGAGTGTAAGCATCATTTAATATGCACAGTGATTCATTATTCAAGTTTAGATTTAGATAAATTAGTCATGTTTACATACATGATCGCAGGCTATGATAAGAGAGATGAGCAGAGGTGAGCAGGATGAGGCTCTGACCTTCAGCAGAGATCTCAGCAACAGAGCTATTGTTTTTCTAACTTCATTGATTTGCAATTTATTTCCCTCTAAGAATCCCTTAGCCAACCATAACTTCAAACATGATGAAGTGGATCAGTGTGGGGACATATATAGGATTTGTTTTTATTACTGTACATTACTTGAGTTTGATATGCGGCATTCTAGTATCTTTTTTTATCTTTTTGAGGTGTGACTAGGAAACACAAAATTCAAGGTAAACCATAGCACAGTAAGATCTCAGTCACTTAGGATTGGAAACACATCACAGACAGGATGTGATTTTCTCTTTGTTTTTTCACCGGGCAATCTGTAGATAACCAAGAAGTCATTGGGATTCTGTTGAAGTGCAAAGCTAGTGATACGAAGGCTCAACTTTATAACACTGTAAGTCACTTTTTACTCTTGTGTGCCTTGTGCCCTAGGGTTGTAAGGGGCTCTAAAAATAAAGGAAATCGTGAACAACCTGTCAGCAGTCACTGCATATCAAACACACACTTTCATGTTGCCTGCTGGTGTTTGTTTATCTGAAGGATTTATATAGATGTGCTAAACATAGACAATCTTCTCATCTGTCGCATTATTTATACTCACATTGCTTTCACATAAACTCTAATGCAGTCTGTAAACAAATACCTGCCTAGAGTCAGTCTTAAGGCACAAACATTTTATACATACACTATTTAACACCTGAACTCTGTAAAGTGCCTCCATAAAGCATTCATCTGTTTGCATCTTGCAATTTATTTCATTTTTTTACATTCTGCTCGTGTATAACATTCTCTGCATTATTTGGCTAATTGTCATTATTTATTTTCCTCACATGTATATTACTTGATCTTCATCTGCATTACTTTCACATTGGTCTGCAACATAATTGCACTATTCTGCTTTGTTTCTTCTTGCACTATTTTATTTGTAATGTTTCATTGTTGTATGTCTTATATAACTATGTTGCATTGTTGGTTGGAGGACCTCAGGACTTAATATTTTCATTTCCATATCCACGCTGTAGCTAGTGTTAAAGCCTTTGTATCTTCAATCTTGCATTTTTTCAGTATGATTCGATATTAAGTTATTAATGCAATTAAATTGGTCTAATAAACAAGATTGACCTGCAAACTACCAACAGTCTATTGTGTTAAATTGAGTGTATTTATCAGTATTTTAAGACATTTATTATGGATCCATTACATTTAATATGTACACATTTTGACAAAATGTCTAGAAAATATGCAAAAGAAAATTCTGATTAACCTGCGTTCCCATTAGTGGCAGATCATTTCCATTTGCCATCAAAACCATTGCATAAAGGATTCAACAATAAATTATGTTTGTTAACTGCATACATTAGGGGGAAAGTCTCCTCATTGATCTACATTTTAGTCTGTTGTAATGTTTGAGTTGAATGAAAGTGGAAGTCCATGTACGTCATGTCTTGATCACTTAAAGGTGGGGTGTGTAATTTATTTCAGAAACACTTTTTGTTATATTCCATGGAATGCTCTTAACATCCCGATAGCAATGAATATATTAAATGCTTTGACAGTAAATACATCTCATACAAAACATTTTCATCTGTGCACAAACTTATCTCGTGCCCTTATTGGTCATGTGCGCGTTCGTGTGTGTTGGAGGAGGGGCTCTGTAAGGAAGTGGCACATGTTTTCCGGTTGTGTATTTTCAAATTCTAGCGCACTCGAGCTGGTTTCTCCAAAATTACCTACCCCACCTTTAACCTCTTTCAATTACACTTAGTTGTAATTATTGCTTTGATCAATACACCATTTTGTCCACCTCAGCTTTCTAAATTCCAACTTAAGTTGTTCTATGGTAGAATCTTCATACAAAGAGTTGGATGACAGTGTACAAAGATTTGTTTCTTTTCAACAGTTCATCGTACTGACCTTGACCACATCTTCGTCTGTAGAGCTACACTTGACTGCTTCCGAGATGTCAGTAACAGAAGCGTCTATTCCAACGGTCACCACCTTCACTGGCACAGCCACTGTCTTCCCGGTCAGCACCGCCGTGTTCAAAATCTCAGAGTCCTGGAGGCAGAAAGAGAGAGAGGGATCAGCACAGCAGGTCCCTAATCCACCCAATCAGTGATTAGCTCGGAAAGAATAGAAAAAGTCAAAGTAACAAGCAGCATCGAAATTGGCCTAAAGAGGCTTCGCACAACCAACGCTCAATTAGTGATTATTGGGTTAACCACTGTGTAATCAGAGCCACTGTTCAGTGAACAGCTAATGTCTGATGGCAGCTGCTGAGAGCACAGTTACAGCAGCTGAAAGAACATACAGTCACGCTTCAATCACCTGGAAATCATTTCTTAAATTTGTATAAATGCAGCATGTAGAATTACTTGTGTTGATCGAAGTTTGAATAGCTACTTCTGAGTCTCCATATGAAGTCAACCATAACAATTTGTGGTTGTTCTAATTATTGTGAATGTAAGTATCAGGATGAATACAAGACATTCTCCCAACTGCCACGCTCTTCAGCCAGCTAACTGTTGAAAGTAATTAGCACAACATTGTGGTGCGCTAGTCACCAAAATTACAGATGGGCAGATAACATTTTGATTTTTCTTGATTTTCAACAGGCTACAAATGAAATGGTTAAAAAATTATATTTCATGTGGGGAAATCATTCATGCTCTATGACGTGAGCTTTTGTTCTATGAAAAATGTGCTTCTGTGCATCGGCAGCAATATAACGCGTATGTCACTGTTGCCAAGTCAATCCATCTTTTATATATATATATATATATATAGTCCTGGATCCATAGTAATTTAAAGGTACTCTTTGCAGTCTCTGCGGCTGTGATTATCCTCCTCTTGAGCACGTGTAAGTGCCTCAAACTCTGCTTTGTTCGCAATATATAATGAATGTCATTTCTACCTTCAGTCAAATGCTTGGCCTCTATGGTCTATATGTAAAAAAAAAAACATGCCCTTAAGCATTTCTATTATTCTAGATTTGGATCGGGTGAAGAATGTATTTTAGATTTAGAGTCATAAATATGTAATCATTGTAAAATTGTTCTAATAATAATACATTTTCATTGATTAAGAGCCTTTTTACCATAAAAAGTGCCGTAAAACAAATGTGTGCTACCAGGAACCTTATTGAATTATGGTTGTAATTACTAATAAAATAAAAGTACACCATTAAAATAATATTCTACAAAAGGTAAATATATCACATTTTGAGGCTCACTAGCAATCTGCAGAACAAAATGTGTTAATCTTAACCATAAAACCGACATAATACACTGAAAAAGCAGATACTGTGCTCTGTATTTCAAAAAAATGTACAGCATGCAAGAAGAAAGAGCAGCATTCACCAACAAACTGTGTTCTCTCATCTTTGTTGTACATAAAATACATTTATTTTAATCATTTACACTCTATGGTTTATAGAGGTTAAGAATGTGATATAAAGGAAGCTTAAAGGTGGGGTAGGTAAGTTTGAGAAACCGGCTCGAGATACACTTTTTGTTATATTCCATGGAATGCTCTTAACATCCCGATAGCAATGAATATATTAAGTGCTTTGACAAAAAATCCATAAAGAAATGTCATCTGTGGAAGCCGTGATACTGTAAAAAGCACGACCAATCATTTTAGCCGGCCCAGCTAAAATAACTGGATGGCCTACCTGCCTGTCAGCCTTCCATCTGTGCACAAACTTATCTCGTGCCCTCATTGGTCATGTGCGCGTTCGTGTGTGTTGGAGGAGGGGCTCTGTAAGGAAGTGGCAGATTTTCTCCGGTAGTGTATTTTCAAATTCTAGCGATCTCGAGCCGGTTTCTCCAAAATTACCTAACCCACCTTTAAGCTATTTTTGGCTCTTTACTAGATGTAACAATGAAAATGTGATTCTGAGTGAGTGACCTGCGCAGTCTGGGAATCTTTGCTTCTTTAAGTTCAATGGCAGGGCTTCATCCCTCTGAACATAAATCTTAACCTTTCAACACACACACACACACACACACACACACACACACACACACACACACACACACACACACACACACACACACACACACACACACACACACACACACACACACACACACACACACACACACACACACACACACACACACACACACACACACACACACACACACACACACACACACACACACACACACACACACACACACACACACACACACACACACACACACACACACACACACACCACACACACCACACACACACGATAATTGGGGCCAATTAAGATAAGTCTAAGTTAACTTTTTCTCTCCCACATGCACATTGGGTTGTACAAAATGTCTCTTCATTTACACAAATTGCTCTGGAATCCTGGGTAGCTCAGTAATTTCCTGCCATTGAGGTGAAAGTGCACCTTTCATTACTTATACCATTCAACCAACACGGCTTTCTTGCTATTGGGGAACCAAAATGACTTCCATGAGCTAATTGCACAGCTTGACAAAGGCCTCTCATTGTACGCATTTGACTCTGCTATTGGAGCTCACACAAACGCCCTGCTCTGACTTCTTTAATTTCAATGGGCATGAACCCTGAGACACCTTTTCTTTTGGCACAGTATTGAAGCCATACCAGCACTGAATACATTTCAGTTCTATTCTATTGAGGTAGCTACTATTTTTTGTTTAAATCTCACTCTGTAGTGATGCCTTTTGAATAAAATGTCACATTTGTTTAGAGTATTAATGTTAAACCTGACTAGCACAGACAGGACCAATCTACTGTGCCCAACTTCCTGTCACCACATTCAAGAGTATCCCATTGTCCCTAGGGAAGTGCAAAAGATGTGTACAGGGCCCTGTTAACTCGGTTTCTAAAGACTTCCCCTTGTGTTTGTGAGCTTGTGAATCAGAGTCATTCAAAAAAAGAGAAAAGGAGGATTACGTTTGGTTGAAAGGAGCTTTGCTCGTTTGTAAGCATCAATTACTGAGACCAGTCAGCTCTGGAGTGAAATGATTTTTAGTTGAGCCAAGAGATACCAATGAATCACAAAAAAACACTTAATCTTCAAATGGCTTTTCATTACAATTTTATAGACTGTGACAGTGTTATATACTGTAGGAATATAAACTCCTATCTCACTGTGCCTGTGACTTTGATTCAATTCCCCTTAAAATCGAGGGTTGCTGTAAATTAATTCTGTGTCTGCTGGGATTTCTCCAATTCCAGAGGGTCATCTATAATACATGATGGGGTAAATGGTTGGGACCTGGTGAAAGCAGAGGCTAATGTTAGATTACAGCAGCTGGAGATGACCCAGCAGGTTGAGAGCAGGGCCTGGCAGTAATAAGCCACAGTGGGATCCCTCAGTGATGCATCAATGGTCCACACACTCAGACATAGACAGCGCAATTAAACACAAAATGAGAACCAGCGGTGCACATCAGCGGCGTTACTAAGTCATCTAACGGTACTCTGAAAGAAGACACAATAAAATCTGGGCCTGTGAAACTGAAAGGATGACCTGATGAGAGTTTTTATTATGGTCGGAGATTTATGACTTCCTTACTTGAGATGGTTAAGGTTTACATCATAAAAGGGATATCTTATTGAAATGCATTTAGTTTTTGTGCCTACATTGTTTTTATGATTAATCTTTTTAGAACAATAAAAGCTGCCATATATTGAAATGTGTGCTTTTGCAGAAGTGTATGCTACTGTTGATGTCCTTCTTTTCTGGCAACTTTCGTGTATTGTTTTAATAGTTACATGTGTCAGATTTGTCAGGAGATAATCCATAACAGACTGTGACATTATCGGAAAAGAACACACAATGCAGAGTGCATTATTCTTTCAAATTGATTAATCAATCATATTTAAAGGACATTTTAATTGTAAATAGAACAGTATAGGCTTTTTCTTTACTACATTAGAATAACACTAACATGTATGGGTGGCTTGGGCCAAAATGCCCAAAAAAACAAATATAACCAATGTAATTTACAAGTCTTTCAACAACGACATACACCACATAGTGGGTCTGAAGCCCTTGAGACACTCGACAGTCTCCAGCCCAGGGACAGTTGCCCGGGTGATAGAAGACAATTGGTGAGTACTCTCTATGGCTATTATATCACACTTCAACATATTACGTTTACACTTTAAAAAATGGCTTCTGTGGAAAGCTGGAGTAAAACCTGAGCATTGATTTATGTAAGTCAAGTTCTAGTGTGTTGCCTTCAATACTCTGTGCATAAGAATAAAAAGATAATGAGTGAATAATAACAATAATTATAGAGCACTAAGCATATAAATGCTTTAACCGAGCACAGAGACAGTATTGCCATTGTACAAATTCACTAATTGATTTATTTAAATACATTTTTATTCGTGCAATGGCTTTGTAGTTGACACTGATGTTTGTGCTTTTCTTACTAGCCAATCTGCTCCCTCAAGTCTAACAGATTTTGTTCAATAATCTGTTGGAGAACTGCCGGTCTGCTTTATCAAGGATCTCTCTGTTAGCATTCAGCACGCTGCTGTGCCTGGTAATGTGCTCTGGGCCCTAATTTCTGCCTGTGTCTCGGTTGGATCTGAAAATAAGTGAGATTTATGGTGTCAGCCTGAGTGACACGGGCCGCATGAAAAGTAGCGAATCTGCTGCCTGTCCTGCTGTTGCGATTAGCCTCTGCCTCTTCCTGCACTAACACATCCACAGCCTGACCCCACCGTGGATTCAACAACAAATGAACAGGTCAAGCGCAGTGTTGAGTTGGGGATTTTAGGCCCTGCATTATTCATGGAGCAGAAGAAAGAAGAGAGGGTGGTAAACACAGTATATACTTAGTCTGTACACCTATTATTGTAGGCCCTTTATCGTTTCCACTGCCCTAAAACCAACAATCTTACCAGATAAACCCAAAAGATCAACAACCTATGAGAAAACCCGAAACACCGATTGTGATGATTTTAAAAACAATGATTAATGACATGTCATTGGACAAGAGCCTCTTTTTGATCTTTCAGGTGACATTTCAAGAGCAAAATCATAAATAAAAAAGGGCTATGAATGAAGTATGCCA